GAGAGAGAGGAGAGAGAGAGACAGAGAGAGAGACAGAGAGAGAGAGAGATTGAGAGAGAGAGAGATTGATTTTGAGATTCTTATTAAGTACCTTCTTCGAAAATGAAGGAAAAAAGTGTGGCCAGTGAGGCTGGTGAGCAGGGAACCAGGACAGTCTTCAGCTTCTCCACTGCTACAATGACTGACACGACCTGCTTGAAGCTCTTCTTGTAGTGTTTGTAGGAGATCTGAAGCTGGATGCCCTCTTCTGGAGAACAGGGGTCCAGGTCTGGGAAACCATACTTTGGAGAAAACAAGGGAGTGAGTGTGCGGAGGTGTCAAGGTAGGGATTTCTGTTTCGAGAGGAATCAGAGAAGTAGAAAGGGCCTGAGGCCTAAGCGACCTTCTAATGAGAGACAATCGCTTAGTTCTCTGAATCCTAGAAAGGGTGAGTGGTATATCCAGAGATAGGCCTGTGAGAGGCAGAATATGGATTTTCTCATGCTTGCATGATATTCTTTTATAATAAATCTGTTCTTAAAATTTCTCTCATACCTAATGCTCGAACATGCTGCAGGAAGGATGCTAGGCTCCCCAGAGATCCTCTGAGTCCTGCTTGTTACTTTTCACTTGTGGCTCAAAGGGGTGAAATGATTTGTCAAGGTCAAACAGGAAGCTAATGCTTTCTTCGTCTTTTTCAACTCAGTTCACTTTTTTAAAAAAATTTTTATTAGAATTTTAATGAAAGTTTACAGAAAAGTTGGATTTCCATTCATTTGTTGTTGCACATTTTCCTCCCTCCCCCTACCTTCCCTCAGTTCAACTTTTAATTTCTGTCAGCTATATCTTGTCATAAGCTCCATTCCAGATAACAGAGAACTATTCCAGCATGAATGTTGACATTGGATAAATGTTAAGGTCATCTTCTCTGAGGATCAGAGTTTGACTCAAGAGAATGGTAAAAGGAGAATCAAATCTTAGGAAGCCTTTTGGCCCAGGCAGCCTCCCTAACACGAGGCAAAAACACTGTCAGCACTGGCCCTTGTACCCTGGCTTTCTCCATCATGACTTGCCAGTAGATTACCATCATGGTATGTGGAGCTGCCTTGCACCCTGCATCTACTCCCCTGAGAGAGGCAGAACTCATTCTGTTGCAAAATATCACAAGCGCAAGATGGCCCTGACTCTTCTTTGAGTGATTTCTGTATCAAAGCCCAAAGCCCTTCTGTAGATTGGAAACCAAATCAACAGCCTCACCTTCATCTGTTTGGGGCCATCAATCTCAAAGCACCGGTCATTATCATTGCTGCTGTAATAAAAACAAGAGAAATTACTTCATTATGTCTCCTATGCTACTTTATTTATCTTTCCCTATAAGAAGTCTTCTCTGTTAATAGGACACTTCAAATGACTTAAAACTCAAAAGTACCTAGAGATTTCTGACAAGTTCCATGGTGATAGTATGAAACTGTCTAATGCATGGGTTATCACGTTGGAACAAGGCAAGACACCCAGGGTGCTCCCTGTTGATTCCCTGAGACTTAACCTTTGGAGTCAATTAAAAATCTGAATTTGCCCTCTCACTGGAGTCAAATGTTGCAAAGAGGTCCCTTGCACTGTTTATTTGGAATCTTTTTCTCCAATTTGCAGTGCATAGGAAGTATCTGAAGTGCAGTGTATAGGAGAACAGACTTTAGTGAGAAATCAGTTTGCAAAGATTAATTTGGAACCCTGCCTGCCGTTGAAGAGACAGAATGGGGACAAATCTGGTTTCCAGGCATAATGAAGACCACACTCATGAAAGGGGGGTATCCCGCTCTTGGGACTTGTCTTTCCACTGACCTGTAGTAATTCATGATCTTGCTGTCAAATTCAGAGGCAACTGCCATGGCTGTTTCAGAAACCTGTGTAAAGAAGAAAGGGTGACCATTTAATCGTCGTTTCCAGGCCCTACTAGCTTCTCTCAGCACCTAGAATATGGTAGACATGCAAAGAAACAATCTTGGAATGAATACATTCATACACGGAAGAGCTAGAGGTAAATATTTGTTAGTGTAAACTCAAGCCATGAATGTATTTGTTAGAAGCAATATAGCACTTGGAACAAAGGCCTTGACATTTATCTCCCAAGTAACAGCTGCTAGAAAAGCAGTATCTATTTCTAGAATGTTTCATAAACCATCTCATAGCTGGCAAAAACCCTAATGCTCAGGCAGAGAAAGAGAGACAGAGATTGACTTATTTACTTACACTTAGGACTTAGTTATTTGTAAAAGTCAGTTAAAATCATCATACCTCAATGATAAGGATTGGCAAGAGAGAATCCGGGTAGGCCTGTGGTGCCTCCAAGACGTTCACTCTTCCAATTTGTCTCACTCTTGCTGTTTTATTGCCTCTAAAAGCAGAAGTGGAGAGCTGAGAAATTTCCCTTTTGGCCAACTGATTTCGCAACCAAATAAAAAGAGAAGATTGGTGGGAATGTCTAGGACAGGGGGCTGGGAAAGTAAAATAATTCTCCAATACATAGAAGGGCAAAACATGTGTCATCATGCAATATGTTGTTTTTCTGACAACCATTACATAGTTGAAATCAGTATTAAAATATTTATCTTTTCCTAAATTAAAAAGATACTAATTTAGAATTTCTAGGGCAAAAGGAAGAAGACACAGATACACACATTGATATGAGCACACATCTTCCTTCTCCAGGTAGGAAGGATCCTATACTTTGTAAATTGGCCTAATAAAATGACAATGACTCTCCCAGTCTGGATTCTGTATCTCTGAAGTTCTTGGTCAACTTCAGGAGCCACTGGTCACTTGTGCATAGGACAGAGAATATGCACTTTTGCAGTCATGCAGATTCTTAAGGAAATTCTTTGTTTTCCCTCCTAAAGTTTCACTCTACAAATTAGCCACTGATTTCCAACCTCATTAATGCCACTGCCACCTTCCTCCATGTATCTGTACTGGGATTAGAGATCCTGGTGATCTGGTGGCTCTATCTGTGGTCCAACCTGACAGAGCACACAGAGATGACCTCAATTCATTGCTCTTGATTGGAAGGTGAGAAAGGAGGATGAAGGCCTGTGACCGAGAAGGAGGTATGCAAGTGTTCCAAATGTCAGTGCTTAGTTAATTCCTTCTACTTCTAGGGCTTAGGATAGATAGGTCAAGAATTTTGAGCTACCTCAATGTTAAGAAGACAAAGATTCTCACCACTGGATCAATTGGCAGCATCAGGATGGATGGTGAAGAGATTGAGATTGTTAACAACTTTAGTCTGCTTGGCTCCACGGTCAACACTCTTGGCACCAGTAGCCAGAAAATAAAAAAAAGTATTGCAATGGGAAAGTCTGCTGTTAGGGACCTCTCCAAAGTACTGAAGAGCAATGGTGTCTCTCTGGAGACTAAGGTGCATCTGATACAGGCTATGGTCTTAGAACTCACTTGTTATGCAAGTTGGACAATGACTAAGGAGGATAGAAGGAGAATTGATGCCTTTGAGTTGTGGTGCTGGAGAGGAGTATTGAATGTACTCTGGACTGCCAAGAAAACAAACAGATTCATCCTGGAGAGGGTTAGATCAGGCTGCTCCTTGGAGGCAAGGATTCTTCGTCTGACATATTTTGGACATGTTGTAAGGAGGGAGAGGTCCTTGGAGAGGGACATCATGCTTGGGAGGGTGGGGGGACAGCGCAGGAGGGGAAGGCCCTCTATGAGGTGGATTGATTCAGTGACTGGGGTAATCGGGATGGGATGGGCAGTGAGATTGGCACAGGATAGAGGAGGGTTTAAGGCTGTTGTACATAGGGTCGCTATGAATCACAAGTGACTCGATGGCACATAAGAACAACAACATTTTATGCATCTTCCAATTATAGAATTGCAGGTTTTGGAGTTTTCTAGTGTGCTCTTGTCAGTGAGCATCTGTGTGTCCTTAATTTTCTTTCTAGCAATCCCACTCTGTCTAATGGGATCACTTATGTGAAGGTGTAAATCATTAATTAAGTGTGAATAGTAGATGAAGAAACCAAGGCCAGCAAAGATGGAGTTATTCATGCAATGTCAGTGTGGTCGAAGTAGGCTGTATGAATTCTAATTCATACAACCTCAAGGGAAATTTTGGACATGTGGGACTATGCCCCTTGATGTAACAGTTTCTGTGGTTCTACTATGTCTCATCCTGACCCCATAGAGCAAACACCAAACCTGGTCACCTTCCGGACCTGTTTTGGGAAGTGAAACCATTGTGTCAAACAGTCAGATTGCACAATGTGTGTATCAAATCCTTTCTGCCCTTGTGGCTTCTGAGGGTACAGAACTTCCTTCCTATATTCAGGAAGTGGAAAATATCTCCCTATAGAAATAGTAGAACTGGGGGAAATAGTAGAGGAGTGATGACGTGGGAGGTGGTGATGCAAATTCAAGGAAGTGGAATAAGTGCAAATAAGGAGCTAATTATGCCAGGATGTTGTGGGGAGCACCAGCTTTGGGTATTTCTTCAGCTCCTGAGTCACTCAAAATCTTCTCTGCTACAGGTTCTCCTATTGCCTGGCAAGTCATTCCATGACAGGAGACTGGTATTTTTTCAGAGCTGCAAGTACCTTGGTACCGTCTTATGCCTGATCTTGGACTTTCCAAGTCTTTCTTACCAATGTTGGCTTAACCCCAATGATCTTCAATCATTTTTAACAAGAAAACAAGCAGAATAATCATATATTTGTTTTTATATATGTGTATAAATATGGGTATAAATGTGTGCTCTTTGCAGTGATCCTATGGGTTCCTTGTTTTCCCTCTTGGTTAGAAAGAACTGAACAATGCTGGTCCTCACCCTATCACATTCTATCATCTTCATTGAGTCTGTTCTCCATCTTGTACCCAGGTACTGAGGGAAGAGAGAAGCAACCTCCAGGGAACACCTTATTCTCTTTTCTGGCCTACAATGAGGAGAGTTCAAATACATGGGTGGTTGAGGTGGATCTGGTTAGGTGAAAAGGTTTAAGTAAATGTAACCACTGGGAGTGTCTTCCTTCCAGCTTAGTCATTATTAATCTTTGAAAGACTAATGAAACCTTGTATATTCTTTTGAACTGAGTAGTTTCCAGAGATTTCCTTTTTTAAAGCGTTATCGCACATAACAGGCATGAAAGAACAAGTTACTTATCCTAGATATTTGGAAACTTTTCCAACAAATTTCCAGATAGTAAATATTTCAAGCTCTGCAGGCCATGCCATGCCATCTCTGTTATAATCACTCAAATCTCCCATTATAAGAAAGTAGCCATACCCACTACCCAACTGAGTGGGCATGGCAGGATAGACTTGCAGGTTATAATTTGTGTGCTCTAGTCTTGTACTTTTAGGCACTATGCAGTTTGCTCACATAGTGACTCTATCTATGTACAACAGAATGAAGTACTGCCCGAGCCTGTGCCATCCTCATATATATCAGTGTGCTTGAACTTATTGTTAAAGTCTTGTGTCAATCACCCCATTGAGGTCTTCCTTTTTTTACTCACCCTCTGCTTTTCTGTAACATCTCTCAGTATTGCGACTCAAAGCTTGAAATGGTTTTTCAGTTCTTTCAGCTTGAGGTGTTGAGCAATTTCTTCTCTTTTTATTCTCCAACTCTAGCTCTTTGCACATTCTGTTAAAATGTTTTGTCTTATTGACCTGCCATTTGAAATCTTCTCTTCAACTCTTTTACTTCAGCACATCTTTCCTTTGTTTTGGTTTCTCAACATTCTAGTGCAATTTTCAGACTCCTTTATGGCATCCATTTTTGTCTTTTCTTTATCACTCATCTTTGGAATAACCTTTTGTTTTCTTCATGGATGATGTCCTTGATGTCATACCAAAACTAATCTGGTATGACACTAATCATTAATGTTCAATGTTTCAAACCTATTCTTAAGATAGTTTTTTAAGTTCAGATGAGATAGACTCAAGGTTTTATTTTGGTTCTGGCAGGCTTCTCTAATTTTCTTCAGCATCAATTTGAATTTTCAGGTGAGTAATTAATGAACTGCTCTATATTTAGCACCTGACCTGGTTTTTACTGCTGATATTGAGCTGAAGGAACTGAAAAACTAAATCAAGTCTCGAGTTGCTGAGAGATGCTATGTGAAAAGTCTCAGGAAGCATCAAAAGAAGGTGGAGGGGGCCCTTTCGACCTTCTCTATATGAGTCATTTTGCTTACCTTTCAAATCAACAATAAAGGCCTGTTAGTTTCTTGGGACTAGCTTCTTTATTTCTCTCTCTCTCTTTAAACTCTTTTTTAAAATCTAACTTATGTTTCACTGACTAGGAAGAATGCCCACTCATAGGTCAAAATCTCCTTTCCATTTCTGTGTGAGTAATGCAAGAACCTGCCTAGACTCCTCATTGGTCTGGCTGGTACCCTTCAAAATAGGCCAAGCTTCTCCCTCCCTGTTTTATCTTTTTGTCCTCTGACTTTCCTTCTGGTCCCAAAGGTTGAAAGCCATTTACCATTTGAATCCAACAACATCCAACAGTGGCTGTAATTCTCAACCACCTAAATCTATCTCTATGATCAAGGTAATATGAATGAGAAGTCAACACAGACTAAGTCCAGCTTTTCTTCAGAGTCAACTTCTAAAGATGCCTGAAAGCAAAAGCAGTCTTTTCTTCTCTTGCCTGCTCACCAAACCAACTCCCAACTAATACCTATCCCTCTAACCCAGCACCTCAAACACAAACAACCAAAATAGGACTCCTCCCTTTAATGTCCAGCCTGGGAATGATAACAGGAGCTCCTACTAACACTACAGGCTTAAACATCTCCCTAGAAAAACTCCTCACTAGACTGTCTGAGACCAAATGACTCCGTAGTGGCAGTTGTATTACAAAATAGAAAAAGAC